AAAAGTTTTTTGTGATCCGTGTTGTGATTTGAGTTGGTTATATTTTGATGGTTGATGAATTGTAATAGTCTTATACTTATTCCTATATGCATTTAATAAATATAAATATGTGCATATGACTTCTTTTAAGTATAAAAGAAATCACTAATCTTTTATTTCGTCTGTATATATCTCTATTTAAAAATCGAGACGTATTGTCAAAAATAACCGTTATCATTTCTGTTCGTTGTACTAGTGTAAGTAATAACTTAAATAACAATATTATTTCTTGATATGTGAGATTTTACCTTAAAAACTTAAAATTTTGGAATTAAAAAAATTTTCAATTGTTCTTGATTTATAAGATTTTAATTCTTCGTGAAAATTATAATTTAATTAGAAAGACTATTTATAATTAATATTGATTCAAGTTTTATGATAAAAAAAAAGAGTATGTATTACAAGAAAGTCATTAAATAACAACTATAAAAAAATTGGTTACTATATTAACTAAGTTAAATATAATTTTATAAATTAAAAATCATTAATATTTAATTTAGTTCGTATTATTAATAAAAAATATTTTAATTAATTTATAAATTAGAGTTTAAATTATTCTTTAACAACTAGGATGATAGCTATGTATCTTGGTGACGTTAAATCAACCAACAAACTCATAACGGAGTATTCTTATTGTATTATTACATGACCGATATTTTGTGCATGATAATTTATCCTGGATTTTAAAAATATGACAAGAAAAGTAGCAATATTGGAAAAAATAAATACGCCAAATGTATACCATAAAAGAAAGAACAAGACAAAAAGTGGGTGTACCACATAAGAATCAAGATATTAATTTTAATATAATATCTATTCATGAGTAAAGGTAACAATAAATTATGTATAAATCGTTGTTACATATTTTAAAGCATTTTGATCAAATTTTAATATTTTCAAAAGAACATTTTTTAATATTGGTACTTTATGTTTTAATTTATCATTATTTAGTATTTAATATTTTCATGGAATAAATTAGCTTTGCATTTTAATTTAATATCTCTCATTTTGGATAAAAATAAGTATAAAATTAAACCTTTTTTTTCATCTAAAGCAAATTTGAAACCTATAGTTTCATACTGTTGGGGAAGCAGCTTTAAATCATATAAAGGTGATTATTTAATGAAAGGGTTCGTTTGCTCACATCAATCACTAATCAACTTAACTTTGATTTATGCTGTCTCTAACTTTAAGCAAATCATAATAAGTGGAATTAATAATCGCCCCAAAACAAAATTCCCTTCCAATTCTAACAAAACATAATCAATCTTTAGCCCCAAATGCTAAAAACTAGCCTTTTAGAGTGTTTTTGAATTTGAAAATACTATTACGATTAAATATTTAAATTTTATTTTTGATATATAATAAATAATACAAAAGGATGCAGAATTTCTTAATCATCACTTTGTTTTTTTAAGAACTTAATTTAGTTACTTTTTTTTATCGTGGTATTCGATTTAGTTATATATTAGAGCTTGTGCTAGAGGAATAAGTTGGATCAGTATTGAGCTAGTTGATTCACACTTAATACTGTTTATTTTTTTATTTTTTGAAAACGGCTAACTTGATAATATTTACCATTTTATCTTGAAAAAAATAATTTTTTATTGAATGTAATTTTAATAAGGCGAATAAATTCGAAACGATGATTAGAATCATATGAAACAAAAATACGTTCGGTGGCTCCAGAAATAAGAGTGGGACCCACTCTATGAAACACGGTTAATGTTAAATAAAAGAAAAAGGTAAACATAAGACAACATTAACAAAGAAAGATTATCTTTTGTCATAATTTTAAATTAACATCTAGTGATAAGGTCTTAATCACAACCACAATATCAATCACTAAACGACAATTTATCAACACTAAAGATACGAACAGTTTAAAAAGTTGCCCCGAAAATTACACAACTCATGGGTGCAAATTTTCACAATTTTATATTATTTAATTCTATTAAATTTTCTATTTAACATCAAATAAATTATAATTACTGAAATATATTAATATTGATTATCTCTTAACTGATTTTGATCCATATTGTCTTTTTTTTCAAGCTTTATTAAAAGAAATGTTAACTGATATTAATAATATAAAGTTTTTTTTTCAATTGACGTAGATCGATGTTATTTCACTAATTATTTAGATTAATATAACTTATTTTCATAATAATATTGATTAAAGCATTTTTTTTTCCAATTTTTCAAATCGTTATATATTGAAAATTCTCTTAAGTTAATATTGACAAAAGAATGTTAGTCAATATTAATCCAAAGTTTATCAATCAACATTATATAAAATATTTTTAATAAAACATTAACAAAAAATATATCGGTATAATTAATAAAAGATGTCACTACATAAATTGACAATAAAAAAAATAATGATGATGTTAATAAAATAAATCTAATTCATATTTGTCAAGAAATAGCGGTTTTCACATTGATGAAAAAAATCTTAACTAAATTTTGAGCAATAAATAATAATGATTTATAAAAAAAATTATTAAGTAGATAAAAAATAACTCATGTTAATATTAAAAAAGTAATTGGAAAGTGATTTTTTTCAATACTAGTAAGAAAAAACTTAATTAACATTGATTGAAAAATAATCATAACCTACCTATATTGTATAGAAAATAACTTTTGATTGATATTGAATGAAAAATAAGTTCAAATGGGATAAATTAAAAATATTTTCAAGTTGATATAAATTGAATAAAAAGACATATTTGACATTAATAAAAAAAATCATTGATAAAAAGACATATTTTCAACCTATATATATATATATATATATATATATATCAATTATAAAATAATGGTGGTGATGTTAGTTAAAAATAAACACAATTGACTTTAGGCTGAAACATTTACCAATATTTATCAATAAACAATGTCAATGTTATTACATTTAAATGTCGGTCAAGTTAACAATGTTTCTCAAATTTGAGTGACATAATTACTTTCTTCCAAAATCCCCTCCTTAAATAATATATTTTATTATAAAACATTTGAAAAAAATATAAAAAAAAATTATGCTCTTTTAACATTTTGATTTAAACACACTGTTACAGTTCCTGCTAGTGCTTTTTTTTTTAATCAAACAAAAAATGCTTTACATACTCAAGTAGTGTATGGGTTCATTAGAAACTCTATTTTATAACATTTTTTTGTTTAAGATTATGTGCACTAATTATGAGGAAGAATAATAGATATATTATTTTAGAAACAGTTTTACTAGTAATCTATCTTTTTCATAAATACATTATTTTGTGTAAAAAAGTCATTGATTTGAAGATATGCTGAAGAAAAAATAAAATTAATAATTCATCGGACGGTGAAAATATCTTATTATTGTAAAATTTATATTGTTAATACATTTTTTCATAGTCGATTTGTTTTTGGATGTGTTCCAATTTTGTAGTTTACAGCAATGTTTTCTTCATTTGTTTATATAATCATTATTTTTAATTATAATAATAAGACAATTTTATAATATATAAAATATGTATAAAATTTATGGTTTGTGAGATTAAATTAAATTTAAAATTTATTTTCTTAATATGATATATATTTTAATATTTATTTTGTAAGTTTACTGTCTCACTCACTAGTGAACCATTTATTATTATTTAAATTTAGTCTTAATCAATTAACATTATATAAAGTGGATGAGTCTCAGTTCACAAACACTTTTATAAAAGTTAAATCAAGTTTAAAGTTTATTTTCTAACAATAATATAATATTTATCTATCATTACTTATGATATATAATGTAATTGAATATTTAAAAAAGGTTAATTAGAGGTGAGTTATTCACTCTGGAGGTGTTTAGATGATAGGAGATGATGCAGTTTCCTTTTGGTTGATAAAGAAACAAAGTATGATATATAACATTGTAAGCTATATATAAATGACTTTATTAGACAGAATTTAAAGGAGACAACTTTTTTTTTATCTTGACTATGATGTTGCGGAAATGTTTTCTTACTTGGAAAGGTATATGATTTTTGGTATATTTATTGTGACATGGATCCGACTTGTGTGGCACATCGTCTAGAGAGCCGTCCCTACAATGCATAATTCATTGCATGCAACAACAAAGTAAACGCCACGAAACTTCAATGCTATTCTAACATACGACTTTTGCTTTCCCCCAACGATGCAAATCCACATGCCCTTTTCTCATTCTCCCTCTCTTCTCCTCCACCTACCTCTCATTTTTTACTTTTTTTCACCATCCAAACCTTCTATCAGATCAAATCCATTAACTCAACAAACAAACATATATACTTTCACCATATATGCATCTTAACAGACATCTCTGTCTCTATAACTCATATCAGAAAATACTGCATTCATTAATTAATAACAGTATGGTAACATTTCACAACATTATTTAATGGACCTATCGTAATTAATAATTCCCTCTTTTATGATATAAGTTCAGTTCAAACTAAATGAAAGAAAAAACTAAAAAAAAGGGAACTTGTAACCAAATAAAAGGTAAACTAACACCAAAACTGAGCAATATCTCAACCAAGAAAGGGAAAATATACACACTCTCCCATGATTATTATTGTTTGAATTTTTTACACTGTATAGAAATGGAACTAAAAGTTTAAAAGTAGCCAAAACCATGGGAAAAATAGAAAATTGCAGAAGCAAAAATAGAAAATTGCAGAAGCAAAAATGAAGTCTCACTGATTTATCACTATACATTTTGTTAATTCTCTTATTTTGTCTTTTATTACAACATTAAGATAAGGCAAGAAAAACGAACAGTGAGTAAGTGGTGACGGATAAGGAAGAATTAAGGATCAAAAGCAATGATCAATACAGTGTAGTAGCCGTTTCCTCATCTTGGTAATCTGAATGCTCCAGGTGTAATATGAGATAAATGTGAGGGTTATTTTAATGTGTAGATTATTTATTGGAGCTTTAAACATTGACTTATCTCATCAAGGTTGTGCAGTGGTACTGAGATGGCAGTGGAAGGAGGAAGACACCGTATTGGGTTGATCATTGTGGCAAGGTGAGGAGCCAGAAGGAGGGACATAACCCTTTGGGAGCATGACAGAGAAACGTTGCGAGTCACGTGACTGGTGCATGTTCTTGGACACTATCTTCTTTCTGTGCCTCATCGTGTTCTTGTTTCTCCTTGTTCTTCTCTTCTTGAGGCGTTCTTGTTTGGGCAAAGGGGTGGTGTGGGGAGTGTTCTTGAGGTAGAATATTTGGTAGTGTTGTGAAGGGGTGATGGTTGGAGAAGGGTTTCGGTGCTGGATCTCTGCTAGGGTGGAGTAGCGTGAGGACGAAGGAGAAGAAGAAAATGAAGAAGAAACTGTGTAAGAGAGGAGGAAGAGAATGAAGAGTGTTATTGTGCACATGCACTTTAGGGTTGGAGTGAGGTTGGCCATGAGACTGAAGAGTTGAGAAGTCTGAGGGTATTTGGTGGTGCATTATTTGTGTGGAGAGGAAAAGGAGAGGGAATTATGGAAGTGAGAGTGCCGAGATTGAAGATGAACGAGAATTCCAATGGGTGGTTGAGACTTTTGAGACGATAAAGGGAGAGAAAAAGGAGAGAGGAGAAGATCGATTTGCGAAGAAAAGTTAATAGTATTGGAAGATGGGATCGATTTGTGGCTTATATATAACATAATGATGTCCTATCACTACTTTTTCATATATTCATTTTTTTTCTTATAACTATTGCAAGTTATTCAAACTTACGACCTTATAATTCATCTCCTAATTGTAATACACAAATTCGTCCTTCTAAAGTTGTTGATGATATAAATAAAAGCTATAACAGTGTAACTCAATCCTTTTTATAAAATATGGAATAACCCATGAATTTGACTTCAGTTGCTATGTATATACAGAAGTAATTTTACAAATGATGACTTGTAACAAATGTGTGATTAACATTGATTGATGGTGTTTATAAGGGCCTAGGGTGTTTGTAATTCTTGGTGGAAAACTCAAGATCTCTTCATAAAACTCTATAATTTGAAAACCCTTCACCATCATCCTTTCTTTATTGAACACTGTACAATAAGCAAAACTTGATGACCCAAATGCAAAGTTTTCATCTTTATCCTAAAATCCCACATTGGTCAAAAGATGACAATTGCAGTCTCATTGAGTTGATTCGGATATAGATAAATTATTATTTTAGTTTATCATCCTTTCCCATTAAGTAAGAGGACGAATCCATTAACATGAAAGTGCTAGAGTTATACATATTTTTTCTTAATTTTTAATTTTATGTTTTTTGTTAGAGACTTTTTCTTAATTTATTTTAATTGTTTCTCTTGATTTATATATTTATAAAATCCATTCACGATATTTTTCCTACTATTACAATTTTCATGCTTCAAATTATATATATATATATATATATATATATATATATATATATATATATAATCGATCAAATTGTTTTTGGGTCTCACATTTAATTATTTATCCTTTTCTTTAATATTTTTATTTATTATTTTTTTTCCGTAGAAGAATGATTGATCTTCGAGTTCAAGTGTTAAACTACGTTAAATATTTCATTTGCAAAGTAATATAAAAAAAATTTTCTTTGTTATTATCTTTAATTCTTGATTTTTGTTTTATTTGAACAATTTTTGTTTTTTTAAAATAATTTTGATTATCTCTAAATGGTTTGATTAGTTTAATATACGAGAAGCTTTTTTAGATATCAAGATAGTTTTCCTTTTATCATATCTTGATTTTGTATTTATTTTTTTATGCACTTTCGTTCAATGGATCAAGTTGTGACTAAGATATATTTCATCATTTTTAATTTTTTTCAGTTTTTTTATTTGCTACTTATTTTATCATGTAAAATACTGTTATGATATAATTTTTTTATAATATTATTAGAGTTAAATATATTTTTTTTAAGTTTATGCAAATTTTAATACATTTTGGTCTCTAAACTTAAAAAATAGATAATTATAATCATTTTTAATTCAACTAGGTTAAATTTTTTTTTACATACCAAAAACAATTTCTTTTAAAGTGTTTAAGTTCCCACTTTATTGTCAAGGAACACCATTTAACAAATCCAAAATATATTAATATTATTGAGTTAAAATAATAATTTTACATCAAAATTTAGAGATTAAATACATATTTAACTCTTATTTTTTATTTTTTAACTCATTTTCATTTAGTTTTATGATTTAATTAAACAAAGGTATATAATTTATTGTAAATAATTTAATATCATTGTTAAAGGTGAAAAGGATAAAAAAATCTATGTTAAATTTAAATTATTATTAATTTAATATTTTTTATTTATTTATTCAAGTGCGTTATAATTTTTATTAATAAAGAATATTTTATTAGAATTTAGAAAAAGAAAATAAAGAAACCATTAAACTATTTTTAAATTTTAATATTTGTTGCTTTAAAAATTTTATCAATTTTATTTTAGTAATGATTGCAAAATCAATAAATTTGTTGGTTATGATAAAACTTTATTTACGTATAATTATGTAATATTTTTTATGATTATGTTACTTTTATTTAAATGTTACTTTACACTCTAATTTCAAGTGTATATATTTATAATTATTTTATAAATATTTAATATTGAAAAAAAAATCATAATATCATTCTGATATTGAATACCAAACGATATCATATTTCATTTGATATGATTTTTTAGGTTTTTTGGAAAAGTTAAATAATTTATATTGAAAAAAAAACATGTATGAACGCGAATAAGAATATATCTAATAAGAATAGAAATGGAACAAAAATTTTATATAAGAATTTTATCTTTAAGAATTAAAATAAAATAATAAAATTCATTTATGTCCTGTTACCGTACCTAAATAAGATTCACCCCAGTCGCTTAAAAGAAAATTTAAACTACAGAAATAACTCACTTTAAAATTATAAAAATTTGAAATATTTAGCAAACAAACCTTTTAATAAAAATTTAATTAAGATATAAAAAATTATAAAAAAGTTGAAAAAGTTACTTAAACCTAGAAATAAATACATCAAGACATACGTAAACCATAAAAACGAGAAAAGGAACAACAATGTAAAAAGAAGAATCACGAAATTAATTTTAATATGATAATAACTAGAGATAAACATAACATTAAATTCCGTATAAATCGTCGTTGAAACTATTTTTAAGCATTTTGATTAAATTTTGATATTTTTTAAAAAATATTTTCGAATATTTTGTACTTTGTGTTTTCATTTATCTTTATTATTAGTATTACAATATTTTCATGGATTAAGTTAACTTTTGTATTTTAATTTAATATCTCACATTTGATAAAAATAGGTATGAAATTAAACCTTTTTTTCATCTAAAGCAAATTTGAAACCTATTGCTTGATACTGATGGGGAAGCAGCTTTAAACCATGTAAAGGTAATTGTTTAATCAAAGGGTTTCGGTTTGCTCACATCAGTCACTAATCAACTTAACTTTGATTTATGCTGTCCCTAACTTTATGCAAATCATAATAAGTGGAATTAATAATCATCCCCAAAATTAAACTCCCTTTCAATTCTTATAAAACAATCAATTTAGCCTCAAATGCTAAAAACTACCGTTTTAGAGTTCTTGAGTTTGGAAATGCTATTAGATTAAATATTTAAATTTTGTTTTAGGAATGATGAAGGATTATTTTTAATTATCTTCATTAATTTTTTTAAAGTTTTTAGTTTAGTTATTTTTTTTATCATTGTATTCAATTTTGCTGTACATCCAGAGAGATGTGTTTAATCAGTATTGTGCTAATTAATTCACAAACTTAATGCTATTTATTTTATTATTTAAAGAATCGTTAAATTTATAATATTTATTTTTTATTTTATAAAAATATTAAATTTTTTTCTTGAAATCTATAATCATATATAATAATTTTTATGAGAAATTTTCTTGAATTTAATATATTTTTAATTCTTAAATTTTGATGAGAAACTGAAAATAATTTTTAAATAAAACTTATATTTTGATTTTCAAACTTTTAAAGATTATTCTTACTTAAATTAAAAATAATAATTATTTACATTCAACACGTAATTATTCAGTGATTGTTTCTATTTTCTGTGTTAATCAATCACGAGAGCATGCAAATGAGAATTGTTGGATGAGATTAAAATTGTTAGTCCAAAGAAGAAGAATTAAAATCTACATAGGATCAAAGCAACCACTATTGACACTCCATAAGGTAACATGCCCTTTGCCATGGAGAAAGACCCTCATAGGACCATAGTGGGTTATGCATTTGTGTGGTAGTTCTGATGGTTGTCAGTTATTCCATCACATAAAGAACATAACATCACATAAAGAACATAAGATGTTATAGCTCGACATTTATTGTGTATGCGGATGGTCAAGTCTAAGTTGTCTGTTGCATTTGTGTGAAGTGTAAAACATGTTGTAATGTTATTTTATTATAATAAATTGTGTTACAAGTAACTTACCTTGCTTTTGTGTTGTCTGTTGTGTGTTATTTTTTTTCTTTTGCAATGATTACCTAAATGATGTCAGTTGCTACTCGAGAGATGAGGGCGAAGCAAATGAGTTGGTAGGGATAAATCTATTGTCTTCTTGTAAGTTTGTTTTTTAATTTAAGTGATTTTATTATCATATACACACACACACACACACATATATATATATATATATATATATATATATA